TCAGTTTTCTGCCATACCTATCTTCCTCCCTGCCTTTCTTACCTTGGCAAAGAGTGTCACTACCTAACTAATCTCTCAAACCAGAAACCTAAGCATCATCCTCATGTTTCCTCATTACCCACATCTACTTTAGTCAACATGTGCCACTGAAATCTGTTGACTTTGTTCTTGCCCATCACAGCCAACTGGTCTCCCAACATAAAGACTTGTTTGCCTTCAATCCATCCTTCATACTGGTTCCAAGATGATCTAAAATGAAATAACCATTCATTTCCCAGGGTGAAGAGAGCATACGAGTTATGACAATTAAGTTCTTGAACTTGTTGCAATGATGTTGCTAACCTTTTTGATATCAGAAGGATTATTCATTATGAATTTGTACCAACTGTACAGTTAACCAAGTTTACTATTTGGAAGTGCTGAAAAGGCTGTTTGAAAAAGTTAGATGACTTGAACTTTTCACCAATAATTCATGGCTCTTGCATCACGACAATGCATAAGCTCACATGGCACTGTCTGTGAGGGAGTTTTTAGCCAGTAGACAAATAACTGTATTGGAACACCCTCCCTACTCACCTGATCTGGCCCCCAATGACTTCTTTTTTTTTTAATCACAAATACACACTGATGACTTTATTTAAAAGTTACCAAACAATATTGGACAAACATTGATATTTAAATCTCTAAACTTTTGCAAATTAGACTTAGTTAGCAAAGACTATATTCAACTATAAGCATAGATTTAGTCTTCTACATAGATTAGACACTGAACTATGTTTTAAAAGGCTTCATATTGTTTGAAGACACCGAGTAAAAGATTGTTAACATACATAAAAGGATTAGCTGTAAGAAGCATTCCATTTTCTTTTATTTCTTTTTTTTTATTGTTAGTTTCAGGTGTACAGAACAATGCAATAGTTATCCTTTTCACCCTCACAGAGTAACAAACCCCCTCCCCCCCATGTATTGCCCTCGCACCCCCGATATCATGCTTATCTATTACAATTCCATTGATTCCATTCCCCCTCTCTATTCCATGTCCCAAGACTAAATGTATATATAATTATAGTTGACATACAATCTTATTCAACATCAGTTTCAGAAATACAGTGCGGTGGTCAGGCCTCTACACCAACTATGAAGTGGTCTCCCCAACAGGACATGAATCCATCTGGCCCCCTAAGAAATCCCAATGACTTCTTTCTTTACCTGAAGATAAAGGAAATATTGAAAGGGAGATATTTTGATGACATTCAGGACATCAAGGGTACTACGATGACAGCTCTGATGGCCATTCCAGAAAAAGAGTTCTAAAATTGCTTTGAAGGGTGGACGAGGTGCTGGCATCAGTGCATAGCTTCCCAAGGAGAGTACTTTGAAAGGTGACCATAGTGATATTAAGCAATGTAGCACTTTTTCTAGGATGAGTTCGTGAATTTAATTGTCCGGCCTTGTACTCACATTGTCTTTTTTTCCAAATATATGTTTTCCTTTGAGACTGAGCATGTTCACCTTTGTATTCTCAGTACCTATTGCAGTGTCTGCAAATCGCAGTTCTTCAGTGGAAGTGGCCACCTTGTTGGTTGGCCAAATGACTGAATGATTGAGCCATATGATCACTTCTCATTGCCTATAGGCTGGAATCTGAACTTTTTGGCTTCATCTATAAGGCCCTTCACAAAATGGCCTGAACTCTTCCATCTTCATGGGATGCCCTACTCCATTCTATCCCCTGGTCATACCTTACATTTTCACATTTTGATGCCCCTGTCTCTGGAGGTTCTTCTGCTGGTTCCTCTGCTCAAAATGTTCTCTCTGCATGGCACCCAACCCATCTTTCATCTACATGGTGACTGCCTTCAAGACCCAATTAAACTGTCACCTGTCTCTCTGTAGCTTTCCCCGACAATCTGCTTTCTACCTCCAGCGCTCTCTGACCCCCAGTAGTCAGAAGTAAACGATTCCTCATCTGGTTTCAGTAGTATTTCACTCATGCCTTCATTATGACACTCACCCCTTTGTATTATATTTATTCATATATGTAACTATTATAGTTGTTCAACGGATATTTGTTCAATGAATGAATGAAAGACAAAAGTGAGAAAATAAAGGTAATGATCTCTCTACCAAGATAATATGGCAATAAAAATGTAAGTAAGGGCTGGCTGAGTGGCTCAGTTGGTTAAGAGCTTGCTCAAGAATGCGAGCTCTGAGCAACAGTGGTTTGATTCCCGCCCGAGCTGAGCTGCCAACAGGTGGCAGAATCGCTCAGCTAAAAAAAAAAATGTAAGTAATATCTGGATAAAGGTAAGAAAATTCTAACAGTATAGAAAGGAAAAAAAAAGGAAAACAAAAGCTTCTCTCCCCCTATACTCATCTGTTTCCCTAAAGATATCCATAGCTGTGTTTATTTTCAATTTCATTAACCAATAATTGTTTTGGTTGCTTGCTATGTGTGCAGGAAAATGTTTGAAGTCTGAGGTTCTGTGGGCTTAAAAATGCAAAGCCTTTCCCTCTAGGATCTCACAGTCTTTCTTGGGGGAGAAGATAAAGGAGTTGGACATGCTGCAGAGATCAGAAGTTGGAACCATCACTGCAGGCTGGTGAGGTCAGAAAAGGTTTACTGCATGAGAGATGCCTTGATGAGAGTTTGGAGCTTGGGCAGGTTTCATTCAGAGAGAGGAGATTGGCCCAGGGGTATGGGGTTCTCTCAGCACAGGTGTCTAGATTGAATAATGAAAGCAGCCCTCAAGGAAGTGACTAGAAGTATAGCCTGGCTGAAGTTGGGGCTTTATGTTGGGGAGTAGGGGAAAGAGCTAGGAGGCATGCGATAATGTCTCAGAACAGAGCTGTGCCTGAATGAGATGCATTTTATAGACACTGCAGTAGCACAATTGTTAGGACTTGGAGATTGGATAGATGTTTTGGGGTGAGGACTAAGAAAGACTGAAATATGACTGTTTTTCAACCTGGACAACCAGGAAAATGGTGATAACATTGCCTGAATTAGGGAAGTCAGGCTGGAAAGCTGTTTTTGGATGTGGTGTGCTGGTGGTAAGTAGAGCGATGGATTTGGCTAGACATGTTGTTCAGATTTTCCTTGAATGTGAGGATTACCTTTGCCTGCAGAACCTAGAACTGAGCTCTGCATATTGGTGGTGATCACTAATAGGCACCTTGGACGGCAAACCCTGGTCCTCCTCTCAGACATTACGTTCAGAGGGTCCTCTGGGTCCCCATCCCCTTTCCACTCAGACTTATGAAAATCTGTAGGCATCATCCTACCTACCAATTCCTACCAATTGCAAGTACATCTATGGAGATGTCCCAAATTGGGATATTTTTCAGCTCTCCTAGCTTCAGAAAATCTCTGCTGAACCCACCATCTGGATCGTAGCAGTCTTCTCATGTTCGCAACCTAAACTGTCCTTCCTGTTGATCCGTCTTGCTGTCTTTTGCTTCAGCTTCCTTTCTAACTCTGATGGGCAAGGCCCATGTGTAGCCTCAATTTTGTCATTTCACAGTGGCCTGAAGAATCCAACCAGATAATGCTGCATGTTAGTTTACCACTTCCCAGTGGCTACTTCAACCCTACAACTAAGCAACCTGATTCCTGGAAGCAGATAAAACCCATATGCAATCTGTTACTGTTTAGTTTTCATTGCCAAGATAACTCTACAAAGTTAATGAATAGCTGGGTTAGAGTGGGGAGGGACAGAGAATGAATGAAGAGAAACTGTCGTTGGTGGGCAGCCTCTGATCTGCTTATTAGCAGGACATTGTGTACATGGGAGCCATTGAGGATACAGTTGTCATCATCACCATCATCATCAGGGTGCTTTTATGAAGGGCCTAAAGCTAGGTCTGCACAGAGCACTACACAGCTCTAGACTTTCATTTTTAGACCATGAATGGTCTGAGACCAGATATTGATGTGGACACATACAAGATGGATTGAAATCTTCAATATGGCTTAAATCACACATTGTATGCCACCATCTCTTCTCTGGGTTCCTGATTATTTCTGGGTGATATCTATCAAACAAATACGTCTTGTCTCCTCAAGGATATTATTAGCTCTTTGAGGGCAGAGAGCCCAACCTTACACTCCTGCCTACAGACTTGCTGTATCAGACAAATATAGGTGCTCAGTAAGGCTCATTAAATCAACCAGATCTGACAGGTAAAGGAAAAGTACCTTTGAAGCTGATGAATTCCTTAGAACCTCAGTTTCTCCATCTATAAAATGGGGATGGTAACTATAGACTTTGAGATTTTTGTGGGGATGGAGGGCCAATACATGCAAATTGCTTAGCACATAACCTAGCATTATCTACTTAATTGTTAGGTATTAATTTAACAGTATGAATTTTTGTTTCCTGCCTAAGTAGGAGAGAGACGTGCGAAAAGGGTGAGTGTATGTAGCAGCTCTCACACAAATCTGGGTATGCCATTAAGCCTATGGAGGCCGAGTGGTCAGTTGCCTATGCATTGGAATTTGAGGGGCAAAAAAAGATTTACTCTCGCACATATCCTCTTCAGTTTTCTGCCTTTAACTCCTGTAACAGGCATGCGTGTGTGTGTGTGCGCGCGCGCGCGCGCGACTGGCCGGGAATGTGAGAGCGAAGGCCGAGTGGGTGTTTGCACTGGGAGCTGAGGATGGGGCTAAAGTCTCCATATCAGAAACCGTTTTCAGTCTTCATTCAGCAAACATTTATAGCTAACCCAATTAATGCCACACGTCGTCCAGAAGCTGGGAGTCTTGTAGTTGACCAGGGTCGCACTCTTGCCCCCTTTCACAGAGGGAGGAAGCACGATGCTAGAGAAAACGTCTCTGGAAGAGCGAACCCCACTGAGGAATAAAACCGCTTACGCCGGAGCTAGCTCCCAGGCGCCTTGCCCGGGGGCAGCCAAGCTCCTCCAGCGGGGCTCGAGCTCCGCCTAGTCCAGCGGGCGCGCGCCGCCGGCGCCGCGCACGCGCAGTGCAGCCTCGCATGCGCGCCGCCGCCCCGCAGCGCATGCGCAGTGCAGTCTCGCATGCGCGCCGCAGGTCAGCCTCGGCCGGAAGTCGTATCTGGGCGGGGCGCGAACCTGTGGAGATGAAGTAAGGCCGAGGCTTCTCTCTAAGTAGGGGGCTGGCTGTTATGGCCGGGCCCTCGGGGGTGACCCATTGGGGCTGGAGTGGTAGAACGGCTACCCGGTCGAGGGGTGGGAGTGGCTCAGAGACGAGAAAACCAGTTCCCTAGTTTCGTTCTCCCTTACCCCAGGCCAGGCCGCACTTAACTTGTCTGTGTTTCCGCCCCCTTTGCAGCCCTTTAACGAAAGTGAAGCTGATCAATGAGCTGAATGAGCGTGAGGTCCAGCTTGGCGTGGCTGATAAAGTGTCCTGGCACTCCGAGTACAAAGACAGCGCCTGGGTCTTCCTGGGTGAGGTTCACCACATCCCCCCTCCCCCCGCAGTGCTCCGCATTCTCTTCTGACCTTGCTAACATCTGAGAGTTTCCGTCCTTTACTCTTCCCGACAGTCAGCACCCGCTTTTATTTCTTTCTGCTATCTGCCCATAAATCTGTTTGCCATGTCTCTTTTCTCCCCCTTGTTTAGTGACTCTCCCTACCAAAGCAGCGCTCTGATAATACTGCCATTTCCTGTGCTAAGAGTCTTGCCACTTTCTCAGGCTACTGTTATTTTGTAATTTTTAAAAATGTTCAATTAAAGGTGACAGACAGTATTATATTAGTTTCAGGTGTACAACAGAGTGATGAGACATTTATGTTACTTACGAACTAATCACCTCAATAAGTCTAGTACCCATCTGACACCATACATAGTTATTACAATATTAGTGTCTATATTCCCTATGGTATATTTTCCATCCTTGTGACTGCTTTTATAACTGGCAATTTGTGCATATGAATCCCTTCCATTTTTTAACCCATTCCCAAACCCAACCCTCCCACCCCCAATCTGGCAGCCATCAAAATGTTCTCTGTATGAGTTTGTTTCTGTTTTGTTTGTCCGTTTATTTTTTTAGATTCCAAATATAAGTGGAATCATATGGATTTGTCTTTCACTGTCTCAGACCATTATTATCCTCTTTCCCCCCATTATACAGCTGAGGACACTGAGGCACTGAGAAGTCAATGGACTTCTTAAGGTCACGTAGCTAGCAAGTAGAACAGCCAGAACTGTGGGGTTCTAGAACTCATGGTCTTAGCCACTACCCCATATTACTGCTAACTTCTCCCCATCCCAATCCCTTTCCTTCAGAATTCATTTTCCTCATCCGATTACCTCTTGCCTTCTGTCCGTTGCCATTCACTTTGTGTTATATCCAGTAATTTGACAGTTTGTTCAAAGAGGTTATTGCACCAGACTTGATGCTACGCACTTTATAGTCATTGCTTTATTTAATTCTTACAACAGTTCTGTGAGGTAAGTAATACTATCCCCATTTCACAGGTGAGGAAAGAAACATTTGCAGAGGAATTTATTTCCCATGAAATGCTTAACAGTTGTCTTTATAATCCTTAGTCTGTGTGAGTGGGGTTAATATTTGCATATTTAACCTAATTTTGGATCTTAGCTGTGCATTTGTGGTAAAGAGCAGAGGAGTTCAAGATATATTTGTGGAAGCAGAGTTTTGTGCTGGAAACGATCTGCTTTGTCCGTAAGAGTTTATGGTATGAGAGGGATTAGTTTGGTTAGTGGTGACCTTGACCTTTCCACTCAAAGTTAGTCACTGCTTTTTCTGTACTACTGCTGTCTATGTGCTCCTGCCGTTGCATCAGACTGCGAGTTCTCTGAGGGCAGGCCTCGTGGCATACTCTTCTTTGCACCTCCAGTGCCTGGCTTAGTGCATGATATGTAATAGACACTAGGTAAATGTTTGTTGAACTGAAATGTGGTTTTCTCTTCTAGGAGGGCTTCCTTATGAACTGACTGAAGGGGACATCATCTGTGTGTTCTCACAGTAAGTCCGCTTTCATTTTCTGCCTTCTGGGTCATGAGAGTAGTTTGCTTCTATAATGCACTTAGTGGCATCACAGAAACGATTTCTTTCTAGGCTGACTGGCCTGCCGGCATGGGGAGGACTGGAGCCCTTGCTGTAGTCTAGGTCATTCCTAGGACATGGTTCTATTGGGTTGTCGGAAAAGTCATGATGCATTTTTGCAATGAAAAACAAGAGAAAAAAGACGTCATGACTTTTCCGACAACCCAATAGCACTCTCCCAGTGTGAAAAATCCAATAAGTTGGATGATGTAGGAACTGTCTTGGGGATTCTGTTCTATTTTTACTGCTTTTTCAATGGGGCTTGGTAAGTGTGGGCCTACACTGGAACAGACTGGGACTCCCAGGAGGGTACTACTCGTATGTTGGCCCATCTCCTCGGGCTCCTACAAGCTGGGGATAACTCATGAACACGGCCTTTCTGGGCCCACACCTATGTGGCCTTGTAAAATTAGGGCAAAGCACAAAGGAATTGATGAAAAAAGCAAGTTTGCTTTCTTTGCTTCTAGATGAGTACAAGGTTGTTGAGCAAAGCCCACCTTTTTACCCAGACGGTGAGAATCCCAGGCTGATGAGGAATAATAATGAATAGCAGAACCTTATACTCTTCATTCTATGAGATGATAGCAGCAGCACTGGGTGGGAGAGGGTCTTGGCAGCGCACACTGGTAGTGGCAGCTGGTGGGAGAGGGACTGGGTCCACTCTCAGAGCTACACAGAGTGGTTAGACAGTCCACAGGGCCAGAGGACCTTGGCAGCTCACAGGAGCAGAGGGCAATGGCTTCTGTAGCCCTCAGGGAAAGAGGACTGTTGCTGAGAAGCTGGACAGCAGGTACAGGCAGAGGTCCATGGCAGACAGCGTATAGCAAGCCCATGTAGCCAGCACACCCTGGCAGAGGCATTGCCATGGCAGAGGATGATTGGGGTCATCCCATAGGCAGAGGGCCCTGGCCGAGTGGTTGGGCAGCATATAGAGTGGAAGACCATGGGAAAGAAATTGGGCAATATACATGAGAGGGCCCTTGCAGGGACAGAGGCTGCTTCCTCCAACTTCTGGGAGGCAGGAAGTTCCCAGCAGGTGCAGCGTATAATGTCTACCCTCTCATGGTACCTCTGCTCACGCCAGCCTGATATCTAGGAGCTGTTTTTGTCTTATTTGCATTGAGTGCTGATTAGCCAGTGTGTATGTTTATTCTAATTCTCTCTTATGGATGTGCACATTGCTCTCCATGAAGATTGCCTTGGCCACTGATAACTGGCTTTCAAAAATATTTTGTTTTCTGATTATCAAGGTAATGTATAGTCATTGGAGAATATTTGGTGAAAACGTGTAAAGAAGACAATGGAATGTACTTTACGGAAAAACTGTTAGCCGTTTGGTGTAATTATCTTTTTAAAAAAAGTCGGGTATTATTTCCAATATTTTGCTGTTACAAATTATACTGTGATGTTCATTGTGGGATCTACATCTTTGTATGCATTCCTGATGGTTTCCTTGGTGAAACTACTATATCAATGTTAGCATTTTTAAGATTTTTTTTTAATTATAAACATTGCCAAATTGCTGTCTGAAAAGGTTGTATCAATTTCCACTGACACTAGAACCCCATTTCTCTGAATCCTAATGCTATGATTATTTTAAAAAATATTTACCATATGGCTTCTCATTATTGTTTTGCTTTGCCTTTGTTTCCTCATCAGTGAGGTAGAACATCTTTTCATAGATTTACAGGCCATTATTATTTCTTTTTCTTTGTCAGTGGTCTATTCATATCCTTTGCCTATTTTTTTCTGTTGGTGTGTTCCTCATTTTCTGGTTAATTTTGCAAGAGTCCTTCATGTTTTAAGGATATTAATTCGTTGTTATAACACATTGTTGTCCGTTATATTATATGGACTTATTTTTTAAAAATTTGATGTTGTACTACATTGCCATCATTATTATTTCTTTATGCTCAAACTGTTCCAATTTGGGGTGCAGGATCCCTTCAAGCCATCTCCTATGTTCTTTTTTCTCTGCAACTTATTTTGAAATAATTTCAGGCCTAAAACTGAAAAGTTATAAAAGAGTATAAAGAATACCTTTATTATTTTCACTCAGAGACCCCAGATGTTAACAGTTTACCACATTTGCTTTATTGTTTCTCTCCATGAATACATATTTTTTTCTGAACCATTTGAGAGTCGCAGTCAGTTGCAAACGTGATGTCTGTTTATCCCTTAATTCTTCAATATGTATTTCCCCCAAAAAACAAGGACATTCTCTTGTTTAGTCTCAGTATAGTGATCAAATTCAGGAAATCAACACTGATACAGAATTATTATCTAATCTATAGACTTTATTCAGCTTTACTAGCTGTCCTGATAATGTCCTTTAGAGCAAAAGGAAAAAAATAGCTTTCTGGTCCTTAATATGTGATGTAAATTGCAAATACTACTTTCCCCTAGTTTATTATTTGTCTTTTGACTTTGCTTATTGTGATTTTTATGCTATGTAAATTTTTTTATTTGAATGCATTTATTCATATGCTTATATTATCTTTTGGTAAAATGGAATTTTTAGGGGGTGTAAGTTCCTATGGATTTTAGTACATGTATTAATTTGTGTAATTACCCCCACAATTAGGATGAAGAACAATTCCATCACCCCCAAAACTCCCTCATGTTGTTGCTTTATAGTCTCTCCCTCTAGTATGTTATGTGGTCACATTTACCAGTCTTTTATTTATTGCTATTGTATTTTGAGTCATAATTAGAAAGTATTTCTCCCTACCCACCCACCTGTGCTCTCTTCTAATACTTATATATTTCAATTTTATGTATTGAAATCTCTAATCCATTTAGAGTTATTCTAATGTATGGTGTGAAATATGCATCCAATTTCATGTTTTTTCAAATGGCTATCCAGTATTCCCAACAACATTTATAAAAATGTTCATATTTTCCCCAGCAAATTGGGATGTCACTCTTGTCATATATTGATTTTTCTGTATGTACTTAAGTCCCTTTCTTGGCTTTCTATTCTGTTCTATTGTTTTGTTTGTCTCTTTATGTGCCAGTACCACACTAAGTAATCATAGAAGCTTTTCAGTGGGTTTAATATCTGGGAGAGTTACTCCTCCCCATTGTTCTTTTAAAAAGTTTTCCCAGGTATTCTGTTCATTTCTCCACCAGAACTTTAAAATCAACTTACCCAGCTCCTGGGGGGACCACACAAGTTTTTAAAATTGAGATTACATTAAATTTAAATATTAAGTTGGGGGAGGATTTTGATATCTTGATGATGTTGAGTCATCCTATCCAAGAACAAAGGATATCTTTATATTTGTTCAAATCTATGTTTGTGTCTTTCAGGAGTCTTAAAAAGTTTTATTTATATAGGTTTTACACATTACTTGTTAAGTTTATTTTTAAGTATTTTATTTTTTGCTATTATAAATGGGGTTTCTCTTTCATTATATCTTCTAACTGATTATTGTTTGTATGTAAGAGGCTGATTTATTTTTGTTAACTTTATATCCTGTCACTTTACTGAACTGTTGTACTGTTTGTTTTTATCATTGTTTATCATTGATTCTCTTGTGTTTTCTGTATATACTACCATTTTCAAACAGATAGTTTTACTTCTTCTTTCTTCATTTCTTACATATGTTTTCTCCTAATTGCATTGGCCAATACCTACAATGTTAAATAGTGTTAAATAGTTCCTGATCTTAGTTGAGTTGTCTCTAGTATTTTCTGTTAAGTAAAATTCTAGATTTTGGGCCGAGCTGTATGTATGTGATTATGTTATAATGTGTCTATCAATTCGAATTTCATTTTCATGATTTTATTTTTAAATTTATGACACTAACTTATGTGGAATTTATCTTTGGATAAGGAGTAATGTAGATTTTTTTATATTTAATTTATGTTTTTATATTTATTAATACTCATCTGCTTTTCTTATATTTGCTTTCTTTTATATTCATTCTTCCCCTTTTAACAGTAAAATTATTTAAAGTTACAGATTTTCCTGAGTATGGTTTTAGCCACATCCCATAAGTTTTGGTATATATTATTCTCATTTTTTAAATTTTCTAAATAGTCTGCCATTGACTTTATTTCATTTTCTCTTTCATTCAGTTATTAGCCATGAAAGTAGGTTTCAAGTCCTATTAGTAGGGTGTTTTTTGTATAAAATGTATTTCCAGCTTTACAACACTGTGATTGGAGAACAAGGTTTGTTCTGTTTCTGTAAGTTATCAAAGTTTACTTTGAGACCTATTCTGTAATCAATTTTAATGCATGTTTCATGGATTCTTGAGAAAAAATTATTCTCTTTTTATAAGATTGAAATATATTTCTATATCTACTAATCTGACATTAATATTTGTTAACAGTATAATTATTATAGTATTATGTTTATTTGTATTTATATTATAGAATTATGTATTAATTATAGTAATTCCTCTGACCTTATTTTTGTCAACTTTGTGTTATAAATTTAAAGTGGTATATTAAAATTTCTCATTTTCACTATCAGCTTCTCTTTGTATTTCTAATAGGTTTTTAATTTTTTGATTTGTCAATATATGCATGAAGTTTAGTGACTTATACCTTTTTTATGTGTTAGGACCTTTTTTTATGAGACCTTGAATTCATCTTTGATCTTAATATTACCACTCATTTTTAAATTGGGTGTTCCTCCTATATCCCTGTCTTTTTATTTTTAACCTTTCTATGTCCTTTTGTTCTAGATGTATCTCCTATACAGACTGTATTATTTGAATTTTGTTTTGTCATCCAATCTGAAAGTTTTTGCATTTTAAATCAATAGTGTCTTTATTCTTTTATAAAATAAATAGATATGGGGAGATTGTTAACATTAATCTGGTACGGGACAAGACGACTGGAAAATCTAAAGGATTCTGTTTTCTCTGCTATGAAGACCAGAGGAGCACAATTCTGGCCGTTGACAATTTTAATGGGATCAAGGTGAGTGTATTTACTAAGCAGTATTTGGCTGGACTTTTACCATGTAGGGGTTTTGTTTCATTCCCCACCTGATCTCTAGGCTCAAGGACATCACTGGTCAGCTGGGTGTGATATGAGGGTTGTAGAGGTGCGGGGACATCCTGACCAGCAAATGATCCTGGGCAGTAATTCCATTGGCTCATGACCCCCGCCATCTTAATCTTATTTTCCATCTCATAACAACTCTCTCCAGGATCATAGGTACCATCCACACCCCCATCCGCCTACCCCCCAACAGGCCTCTATATCTTACTTTTTCCTCCTCACACTCAACTCTCATTTGTGGTGTATTGGAGAACAAAGAAACTAGCAAGCACTGTTCTTCCATGCTGTCCTATGTCAGGGGATTTGGGGCTCTGTCATGGCTTCATGACCTAGGACATAGCTGTGTATGTGTCATATGTCTCCACTAGCAATACTGGGTCCTGGAAACTCTCTAGTTAAAGTCTGATGGCAAATTTTACAAAAGTAACTCATTCTGAAGTTTACTCTGTTCCCTCTCACCCCTACCCTTGTAAATGAGACATTGGGCTGAGAAACGGGGATGGGGCAAGTCAGGTTTGTCAGTGCTCCACATAGTCCCTGCACTCATTTCGGAAAATCACTGCAGTTGAACGAACATTGTCACAGGTTGAGGGGTGACTCTTGACTTGTTTCGTTTGTCACTGATTGAACTAGTATGGAATAGTTGGAGACTGTAGGACAGGGAGAAACAAGGTCCTAGGCTTGATTTTTAAGAGAGCCAGCAGTCAAAGGGAGTCACCATAAAAGGAAGGCTTTCAAAGATATTTGGAAATGGGAAATAGGATAATGACAGAAGCTGTTTAGGCTTAAAGGTAAAAATAAAAATCTACTTTTGTACTAGAACTACAAAAGCCAGACTTTTCACATTTCAGATGACTTTACCTATAGAATAAGTTTGCATCTGCCTGAATGTTTTTGTTTTAAGTGAGGAGTAAATGTTTTGTTGCTCACCTAGAGAGTTGTGATTCCCAGTGGAAGTATCAGTGTGAGCCAGTTGTTCCGGTAGGGTGGGGAGTGGAGCGAGGTGTGAGGGCTTAAGAAAAAAGACAGTGGTCTTTTCAGGACTGGATGGAATAACCAGGTGATTGAATATAGCTAAGAAAAGAACAAAACAAAACAAGACAGTGGTCTTTCTAGATTCCTATTCCCCTTTTACGTATTGGTCTGCCTTGGCCTCGTTCTAATTGCTGTGTGTCAAGGAAGCATCAGTGAGCTCAATTTCAGGAATTCCTTCTAGCTGCCAGACTTCGACACGGTATATTTCACTGTAAATTAATGTTAGGTATTGATGGTAATTCACTATGCATCTAAAGTATCACAGTTTTCCCTGCTGCTTATAGGCAGGACTTCTCAGCCTTTTTCACTTCATGGCACAGGTAGAACATGAAACTATTCATGGCACACTGGGCTAAGCTGAGGAGGCTGCCTAATACAACCGCCCTGGGGGTGCTAGCTGCCTCAGGCCCCAGCTGACTGCCCTGAGGGCTGAGCAAATTAATATCTAGGTATGTGTGCTGTGACACACCAGTTGAGCAGGTCTGTTTTAGAGATTTTCCCAGAAATAGAATTAGAAGGAATGTAATAGGTGTAGTTCAAACCATGGCACTCCCCGGCTAGGTTCAAATAGTTTGATAGGAGGGCTGTCGTTGCTGAGATATTGTCTCTCTGTCTTAGATCAAAGGAAGAACTATCCGAGTGGATCATGTGTCTAACTATCGGGCTCCTAAAGACTCAGAAGAAATGGATGATGTTACCAGAGAGCTCCAGAATAAGGGCTGTGGGGTTCAAACCCCCTCACCGAACTCATCTGAGGGTTCTGAAGATGAAAAACCCACCAAAAAACACAAAAAAGGTAAAGCGTTAAGACCCAAGAGAAGATTCTGGGTAGTGTTTGTGTTTGTGCTTCCTGGCATTCACTGAGAGTTGATAATCAGTTCTTCTGTGTGGAGTCGGGGGAGGTGTGGGAAACCTTACTTTAATTGGGAAAGGAGAGATATCAGCAGAAGGCTAATGTTATGGGTTGAATTGTGTCCCCTAACATTCGTATGTTAAAGTCCTAATTCCCAGTACCTCAGAAAGTGACTGTATTTTGAGGTATGATATATATATATTTTTCTTTTTGGAGGTAGGATCTTTAAAGAGGTAATTAAGGGTGGAAATTTCCTTATGCAGCAACTTGACATGTCAAGGGTGACAGATCCAGCTTGGCTTCTCAGAGATACTTTTCTGGAAGTATATAGACTGTGACTGCTTGGCACTGCTGCCAAGGATGCTTTCCTTTTGCATATCCCCCAACTCCCTTTTCTTATTGATTGCATCACTTTTTGCTTTCAGACAAAAAGGAAAAAAAGAAAAGAAAGAAAGACAAAGAGAAGAATCACCGGGAGGTACGATCAGAGCAGCCAGCCTCCTCTTCATCTTCCAGAAGCAAGAAGATAAAGGAAAAGGACAACCCTGGCTCTAAAAAGCACAGCAGCAAGAACTCAGAGAGGGGTCCGAAGCCAGAGTCCAAGGAGGTGCAGAAGCACCACCCCAGCTCCCCTGAGGTCAGGATGATCTGCCTCAGGGACACAGGGGACCAAGAAAGGGGGCCAAAGAAGGAGAAGCCCAAGCATGAGCACAAGTCCTCAAGCAGAGGGGAAGAAAGAGAAGAAAAGAACAAGGATAGATACAGATGCCGAAGCTCAGACAAACATTCTGGCCGACATGAGGGGCGTTCTGAGGGTCATAGCCATAGAAGTAGAAGTGGGAGCGGAGATAAATCTTATAGGCATAAAAGGGCCCGGCACTCCTGGGACCCGGAGCCCTCGAATCCCAGTGATCGCAGGCATCATCACTGAAGCCACAGCCTTGGCAGCTGCTCAGTAGAATTGGAAATGCAGTTAAATTCAGTTATGCTTTTAGTATTTCTGTATGTAAAATCTTTGAGGCTGAATTATTTAATCCCTTGAGTGTTCGAGTCATTGAGAGAGCTGTAGTTTCAACAGCTAAACGCCCTGGATTTTTTAGCAAAATCCATTGTCCCTGTGAATATGCTTGGTACTTATCAAATGTGTACCTTAAAATTAGGTTCATAAATATGGCCCATCAATTTATGATGAAATGGCCAGAAAAGGGGAAATGCCAGGTAATTGTAGAATTCCAGTCTTCGTGCTAGATGTTTAGAACCCTTGCAGTGAGCTTTCCAGTTGGCAGCTAGACCCATAGAAAAGTGAAGCTTAACTAGGTTTGGACAGCTTGATGTGAATGTGATAATGATTGATAATATCAGCCTGCTCCCTCCCCACCGCTTCCTGTTTTTGAAAATGTAAACATCTACTTTTTTGCTTTTTTTTGGTTTTGGTTGATATATGTTTCCATATTTTTTTCCTTAAAATTTATTTATTTATTTACTTATTTACTTATTTATTTTATTGAGTTGAAATTCACATAACAAAATTAGCCATTTTAAAGGGAACAATCCAGTGGCATTTGGTACATTCACAATTGTAAAATCACTACCCCTATCTAATTACAAAATATTTTCATCACCTCCAAATGAAACCCTGTGCCAACTCAGCAGCCACTCCCCATTCCCTCCTCCTCGTCCCTGGCAACTACCAATCTGCTTTCCATTTCTATGGATTTACCTATTCGGGACATTTCATATACGTAGAATCAAACAATATGTGGCCTTTTGTGTCTGGTGTCTTTCACTTAGTAGGTTTTCGAGGTGCATCCATAAAAGGGAATGAAGTACTGATCATTACTTTTTATGGCTGAATGACACACCGTTTTATGGATACACCACATTTTGTTGATCTGTTCCTCAGTGGATGGATATTTGGGTTGGCTAGCCAGTTCCCTTTCCATGTTCCAGACATGCCGGGCTACTTCTGAGTTTAGCCTGCTTTTCCAGTAGCTGCTCTTGCTGCTTTCCCCTCTCCATTGCGTATCTATTTGACCTGCTTGGCAGTTCTTTCCCATTTTGAGAGTGCTGTCTTTCTATTTTAGCAGTCAGTCACTTATGAGTTTGGCAGGAACTAGTTCACTGGACCTTAATACCCCTGCTGAATTATTAAAATTGAATTTCTAACCGCAAAATAGAGGGCTAGCGCTTTAATAGTGAGTGCATTAAGTTAGGTTACGTAGTGTGTTAGTCCTAGATTAGATGTGCAAAAACTTTTGGCGGGGGGGGGAGGGAGCCAGAGGAGTCTGGGAAAGCTATCAGACTGAGGTGTAGGTCTGACCTCGAGAAGAGAGGGAAGGAAAGAAGGAAGGTTGGGTAGGAAAAGTCTTAAGAATGCAATCGAGTTCTAATAACATTTCAGCAAGACCAATGGTGAGTCCTTGAGTCAAAGTTGCCTGTAAGAGGAGTCCCGCAGATCAGCCTTGGTAAGCAGGATTCCTGGTAGATGAGGGTAAAGGGGATCAAATATATCAGCGGTTCTCAACCTTCCTAATGCCACGACCCCTTAATACAGCTCCTCATGTTTTGGTGACCCCCAACCATAAAATTATTTTCGTTGCTCCTCTATAACTGTAATTTTGCTACTGTTATGAATCATAATGTAAATATATTTTTGTTTTTCGATGGTCTTAGGCGACCCCTGTGAAAGGGTTGTTTGACCCCCAAAGGGGTCGCGACCCACAGGTTGAGAACCGCTGAAATATATGGTGATGGAAAGAGAACTGACTCTGGGTGGTGAACACACAATGTGCTATATAGATGGTGTATTACAGAATTGTACACCTGAAATCTATGTACCTTTGCTAACAGTTGTCACCCCAACAAAATTTAATTTAAAAAAAGTCCGACCAGTGGGCAGTGTTCCACAGGGGAACCCAGAGGACACCCGATTCACCAAGGCCATCATGAAGGCACTGATGAAAGGGGTACCAGCATCACTAAGTTCAGCGGTGGCCTTGTCTGCAGGCCAGGAATGGCAGTAAGAGACCATCACACAGCTGGGGTCCCAGAGTAGTAAGATACCAGGTAGAGGTGCTTACCCACCAGAAGCCAGGAGGCCACAAACACCAAAACAAACTACAAGGTATGAAAGGAAGCCAAGGGGGCTTTACCCACAGGGAGTTGTGGACATGGGAATGGACTGTGGTGTCCTTAGGAGCAACACAGACAGACAGCCAACAAGGGTATTGCTCAAGCTCTACAAGCTGGAAAAAATTGGAGGAGCAGGGGTTTGAGGGAGGTTTCCCCAATAAAAAAGCCCTAATTGCTTACACAGTTTCCACAGTTCAGACCATTTTCAGATCTGGAAGAGGTAGCTGCATCTCTAGGAGGAAGGGCAATTGTGAGTCGGTGATGATTCCCCCAAGTACTTCTCCCAAAGGGACCCACAGCCACTCACTTGGCTATACGTACACTGGGGAAAGCACAGCCAAATGTTTGAGGAGTACTGGACTCAAGACCAAAGTTGATATTGATACCTAGAGACCTGAAGCATCACCATGGCCCTTGTCAGACGGGGACTTTAGAGGCCGAGTAATAACTGAAGTCCTTGCTAAAATAGGGCTCACAGTGGGCCTGCAGACCTACCCAGGGGTCAGTTCCCAATCCTCAAATGTGTAACTGGTATTGAGTTGGTGGCTGGGAGTAATCACCACGTGAGTCCTTGGCCTGTAGGGTAGGAGCTATCATAATGAGGAAAGCCAAGTGGAAACCCCTGAAACTGCCTCCACCCACCCACCCATCACCATCAACAAGAGTCAAGTGTGATGGTTACTTTTCTGTATCAACTTGGCTTAGTCCATAGCACTCCATTAGTTAAACACTAACCCAGGTGTTGCTGTATTTTGAAGATGTGGTTAATCTACATCTACATCTACAATCAGTATGTTTTAGGAAAGTTAATTTGTGGGAGTGAGACAGACTCAATTACTGTGAAATTGGCATATATTTAGTAGAACAGATTGGTTTTCAAAAGAGAAATTGTTTTCTAGCAATAAAACTTTCACAAGTCATATATATTAGACAAGTGTCAGAAATACCAAGGAATCCCTATCCATCCTTGATGACACCCTAGACAAGTGGAAGGGTAAAGATGTCATAATTATTCCTGTAGAACCTTTTGATTATTGTAATCAACGCACACACTCAACTGGAAAGTTCTAAACCTCCTTCAGGCTTGACCTAAAGCTAAGCACAGGGTGGGGGTGTAGGCAGAGGACTTAAAATGTGTAAGAATATGAGTGCAGCACAATGAATCACTAACAGTACTGATTCAGTGCTGACCGAGATAGTGCAGACCAAGTGCAATGTAAATTCTAAGGAAAGATGAGGTAATTGAAGGTTGTAACACTTAGGAAAGACTTCATAAGTAGCTCTTGAAAGATGGCTCAAATTGAAGGTCAGGAAGAAGAGGAGGAGAGTGCATATCAGATTTTGGGAGCCAGACGGACAGAGACACACAAGTAGGAATTAGCATGGTACGTGTGGGTAGGTAGAAATAACCCAACCTTGCAGAGCTGAGGCTCTGGGTTGGAGGGAAGGCTGAATTGGGCAGCTGGGGCATTTCACAGGGCGTCTATCATTAAAGTGAGGTTCAGACACTAAACACTTCAACTCATTTAACTTCACTTAGTATGTGAAATTGAAATGAACTCAACCAAAACCACAGCAGTGTTTCAAGTTTAATATCAAGTGGAAAAAGGTAAAGAAAATAACTTAAACACTATTAAAACAGTTTACATTTTCATTTGTATTTAGTATAGAATAAATTATTGCTTCCCGGGATAACAGGCAGCTTGACTCCAAGAGGCAGATTCAATAAATGAGCTGCTCCGACCTCTGGAATGGGTTTTTTTTTTTTGCAAGTTCTGTGAGATACAATTAGAAAGTTTGCCTTTTTTTCTATAACTATTATTTTAGCTTAGACCAATCTACTCACACTTCAGTGAGCTAATACCTCCAAATAAACGAAAGAATCATACAACTCAGGGTTGAAAGAACTGCCCTGCCTACAACTCCGAAAGCCTCCCAGCTTCCCGGGTTCAGCAGCCCCATCTCTGAGTTCTGCCCACGGCTAGTCCCGGACAGAGAAATACCTAGTCACTGGCTTCCCAGGGCGTGGAAGCCAGAAGCTGAAGCGTCAAGGAACCGGCCCTTCCCCCGCTCTGCTGAGATCTCCGCCACTTGTCAGGCGCTCCTCCCAAGACGAGAGAAGTGGGAGGAGAGGGAGGAGAGGCTAGCCGCAACTCACAATGCCACACTGCTCCATGTCAGCAGTTAGGCTACGGGCAGCTGCCTTAGTGGTGGCGGCTTCAGCAGCTTTATAGCAGTTGCTGAAGTACAGATCCATGGCCAGCCGTCAGCCCCCAGGGGACGGGGTGCTGGGCAGCAAGTCGTCTTTGCTCCTCCCCTTCACGCACACCTTTACCGCTCTATGCCTTGATCAAGTCTGAGCTGCAAGGACGGTGGTCCTTCAGGCCACGCCCCTCACTATGTTACATTCCAGGCTGCACTGCTGACGTCCTCAATCGGCGTCTACCCAAAGGGCGTAGCCCTCTAAGGAGGTGGGCCGCGGGGACAAGCGGACTACTCACGCTGCCGCCAGAACCTTCGGCGCACGCGCAAGATCCAAGCCTCGATGTTTAAGTGCCTAGGAGCCCAAATGGCCTGGTGTGAGAGGGCCACAGTTGAGATTTCATTTGCATATGAAACACCCCTTATTTAAACTAAACCAGAATATATCAAGCCTTGTCAATGTTATCTGGCTGTAATTCTTCTAATTTTTCCTGGCCTCCAAGGAGCTATGATTCTGTTCAACATGTATCTACTAGTAATTCTGTAGTTTGTACTACAGCCAGAGGGCTGTCTTTCCACATCTGCTCCCTTTACAGACACTGTGATAACCCACCTTCCCCTATGCATACCATCCCCCAGGTCCCGTTTAGGACACATTGTTTTTTCAGTGCTCAATGGTTTCTTTTCTTCTGCTTGTCTTGGGCTCTTTATCTTTCTGCCCTTCGCTCCCCCCCTCCCCCACTCTCTCTCTCTTCCATTTCTTTCTATCTTATTAGATTAGCCAACATTTATTGAGTGCTTGCTCTATGCCAGACACTGCTCTGGGTGTGAGGATACAACAGTGAGTAAAAAATAGTCCCTCCTGCCAAAGAGGTCACTAGACTGTAAATATGTTTAGGGCTGAGACTGCGCCTGATGTGTGAGGAATTTGTGCTTTGTCTCCATTTTTTTATTTAATGCATTTTTATTGTGCTAAGAAACCACATAACATAAAATTTACTATCTTAGCCATTTTAAGTGTACAGTTCAGTAGTGTTAAGTATGTTCACATTGTACAACAGATCTCTAGAACTACAACAGATCTATAGAAACAACTTGAAAAATTTGTTTCTATACTCCTGAAACA